GACCCAACCGGAGGAGGAGGAGGAGGAGGAGGAGGAGGAAGAAAAGGAGGAGGAGGAGGAGGAGGAGGAGGAGGAGGAGGAGGAGAAGAAGAAGAAGAAGAAGAAGAAGAAGAAGAAGAAGAAGAAAAAGAAGAAGAAGAAATAACAGAAACACCACCAACAACGACGACGACAACAACAACAACAACAACAAGATAAAGACGATAAAAAGGAGGGCCAAAACGATTGACTTACAGTCCAAGGCACCATGTCGTCACCACCTGGGATCTCTTTACCTCGGAGAAGAAGGAAGAGGAGGAGGTGGAGGAGTAGGAGTAGGAGGAGGATGAGAGAGAAGAAAAGATCAAGGAGAAGAGGAAAACCAACAAAAACCGTCCACTTACATCCCAAAGGCACCACGTTGTCACCATCTGGAGTCTCTCGACCTCGGAGGACGAGGAGAGGATGAGGAGAAGAGAAGATCAAAAGGGAGATGAGGAAGACCAACAAAAAACAGTCCACTTACACTCCAAGGCACCTTGTCGTCAGGCACGGGGAATCTATTCACATCCTTGAACATATGGTAGGGCGACATCCGAGACTGGAGGTTCAGCCGGAGACTTCGATGTCTGCTCAGGTCATCTGTTGGGCATACACGTCATCAGAAGAAGTGAGGCCTCGAGGGGACAATATACACGTGCGTCCAGGTATTGAGAGCGAACAATCTGATATTTTTCCGTCGGTCTGGAAAACTGTATTGTTTTTTTTTTCGGGATTTGGGGGTGGGGGCTCATCCAACACCCCAATTAAAAACACATGTCTGTGTGGATATTGCTGAAAAGCGTTGATTGAAGGAACCCAAAAAAAAGTAAATTTGCAATTCTAAGGACAATCAAGGCTTTGGCAGTCATCCAACTTTGGCAGCAATAATAATGATATCAATAATAACAACAACAACAACAAAAATAATAATAATAATAAATGATAATAACAATAATAACAATACTACGACTACTACAACAACAACAACAACAACAACAACAACAACAACAACTACTACTACTACTACTACTACTACTACTACTACTACTACTACTACTACTACTACTACTACTACTACTACTACTACTACTACTGATGATGATGATGATGATGATGATGATGATGATAATGATGATGATGATGATGATGATGATATAGTATAATAATAATAATAATAATAATAATAATAAAAATAATAATAATAATAATAACAATAACAATAAAACTAACAACAACAATAATAATAATGATAATAATAATAATAATAATAATAATAATAATAATAATAATAATAATAATAATAACAATAATAATAATAATAATAATAATAATAATAATAAGGTTGATGATAATGATGATGATGATAACATCAACAATAACAAAATAATAACATTAATAATAATAATAATAATAATAATAATAATAATAATAATAATAATAATAATAATAATAATAATAATGATAATAATAATAATAATAATAAAAATAGTAACGATAATCATCACCATCTTCATCTTTTTTCCCCCCAGATCAATCGACGTTTGACGACGCAGCTTGCAGGCTTCTCTCTTGGCGTCAGCATTTTGCATTCGTGAAGCCTCATACGACTTGCTGCCCACTGTGATTGCTGTGTCAGTGGTGGAGCAGTAAGCCGCCTCGAGGTCGCACGCTGGAGACCTGAGTTCGATTCCCGAGCTGGGAGAACAGTTTTATCAAGTATAATTGTCTTTCTGTTGGGATGTTGTGTCCCTCTCTGCCACGGTTCACCCTGACAGAGCATGGTCGGAAGCCAAAATCTAAATCTAGATCTAAATTGTGTCATGGGTGCGTAAAAACGCCGACATTTATTATTTTCTAAATTAAAAAAATTAAAGAACTTATGTCCCGACAAATATTAAACCGGCCATAGCAAATTACCTGAAGAATCAAAATGTGTTTTGCCTCTGGGCTTGAGGCTGGCTTCCAATGTCCTCTCAACTCTCAGCAGTGTCTGGGCGGTACTTTCTATCTGGGGAAATATTGTCAACAGTCGGGTATGAGAGTGTGTGTGTATATATATATGTGTGTGTGTGTGTGTGTGTGTGTGTGTGTGTGTGTGTGTGTGTGTGTGTGTGTGTGTGTGTGTGTGCATGTGTGCAAGCGCGCGCGTGCGCGTTGTGTTCGTGCGTGTGCATGTATTATAATTATAATACTAGTACCGTGATAGTGATAGTGATAATGAGAGCAATAACACTACGAAATGTTTATACCCCCACTCTATTAGTAGTAATCATCATAGCAATACAATATAATAAATATAATCTTAATAATAATAATAACAATGAGGATCAAGGTAAAGGGAACAAATCTGGGCACAGGGAAGCGCACAAAAACAGAACTTTATCTTTGTCTTCTCACTGGTGAAGCG